ATTTGCGGTACAGTAGAGAGAAGATGCAAAGGCTGCATTAAATATGGAGGTAAATTAGAAACGGAAGATATTACTGTACAAGGATTAAGGATAAAAGTCTACTTATCATTCCAGGAAACTTCTAATGGGAAACAAAACCTGCTCTATTTATTTTACCACAGGTCAGTGGTAAGAATTCAGTGAAGATGACTTACAGCTTCTACTCACCTTTTTTTCCTCTATTTGGAAACTGACATGAAATGAATGAATAGCTCAGTCTTCTGTGCACAACTGACCTGCACAACAACCACTATTCACAACTGGCACTTTTTGTTGGCAGTCTGAGCAGAAAATCTAAGGATTACATTGGCACCGAGTCTGAAATATGCTCTGAAGCCAAATTATGGTCTCTTGAGAACACAGCTGAAGTACCTCATAGTGGAGAACAACTACAACTGCCTATGCTGCTCATAGCCTGTGAGTAGAAGCTTTCTGTTTTCAGCACTGTCAGATTTTCAGCACGCTTTATTTGGGAACAGTACATTTAGGCCCTGATAAGTTATTCAAAACTATTTTCCAAATACACTAAGCACTGTAAAGGCAAACAGAATGCTATAATGAGTGCTAGATAGAGGAAAAGCAGATACATCAATATTTTTAAGCAGTTAACAGAATGAAATAAAGAGTGTAAGTAGTAGACAGCTAAGTTTTGCTGCAAATCATTTAAATATAAAAATTATATTGAGTATATATAAACAAAACTATTATTTTAAATACTTTCTTACCTTAGCATTTTCAATGCAAGGACAAATAGCCCAAGCTGCACTTGCTTGAACATCTGGATTAGGATTTTTCAACAATGACCATAACAAACGAACTCCATCTAGACGGTCAATTATTCTATTGCAGAAACAGACCACAAAAAAGAGAGAGTTAATTATGGAGTAGACAATGATATATTTTAAATTATATCAGTTTGTTTGGAACATTGCTTTAATAAATAATGGTCTGATTTTCTTTAACATACTGTTTTACTTTATGTAAGTGCTTGTGTTTTATTGTCAGTTATCTAATGGCCATCAACATAGTCAATAAACATCGTTTACTATAGCAGAAGGGTGCGAGCTAATAATGTAAAGACAGACTATTTTTACTAACAAACTTGTTAATGCTGTTTACTTTTTTCTCAGCACTGATATTCAAAATGCTTATAGAATATAAAGTAAAATAAACTACATTATAACCAGAACTCATATAAATGTGAAAACAAGCATGTGACTTTTTAATGATCTGTATGCAAAGTGAAATCTGAATTCAAGCATACTGGCTTCTTTCATATAGTAACAAAAACTTTCCAAAACAAATATTTATGCCCAAAACTATGTACTTACTTTTTATTCAGTCTATGCTAAAGGTATTTACCTCACTTTATGACATATTTTAAAATACCATGTTTCTAATCTAGCATTAGAAATTAAAATGGCCACACCACAGTGCAACCTTTGTTGGGCACAAATAACGTGTAACTTGTTTCCCATGTGTTCCTTACCAGCAAGACTAACACTGAACACTATGTTATAACTACTTAAACACACTGTAATCAAAGTATCTTCGTGACTAGCTGAAACATGAATTATCATCAGAATCATCTCTACACCATCTGTGTTATGTTTACGTATCAATCAGGCTTGGGAATCAGAACTTCACTTTAGGGTCCAGTGAGTACCTTAAACAGAAAGGAAGGTCAAACAGAACTTAATAGCCTTCATAATTTGCCTTTTTTCAAAAAGTTAAACCCAAAGCAGATGAGCTTAAGATCAACAAAAGCAATTATACCTCTATTTTTTAACCTCAAAAGTAAAAATTCAATTGTATAGAATTTAGAATCATAGAGTGGTTTGGGTTGGAAGGGACCTTAAAGATCATCTGGTCCAACGCCCCTGCCACAGGCAGGGGCACAATCTACATCTTTAATTGTAAATACAAATTTAGATACAGATTGCACTTAAAAACTTCACATAAAACACCTCATTTGTGTTCACGATATGTAAGTTTGCCAGGAAATTTTTAAACTAATTATAAAATCAGCTTTGTATGTAATCTTACCATCACTTGAAGCAGATAAAAGTCATTAAGGACAGGAATGCTGTCTAAAATAACCAAGTGTTTTATTTGCAGTGTTTTTATGCAAACTTGTTAAACAACTATGTTTTTCAAAAGAACACTTTTTTGCAGAAAGCTATGGTTGAGACACTGCAAGCTATTTAAGATTTGCTAATTTTAATACATCTTATTTTACATAGTCCAGATCAATTGCAAGAATATCATAATTCAAAGGAGAAATTCAGAAATCTTAACACATCAAAATAAAACAGCATGATCACAAACTACACAATTACATATATATCTTGAATGACTACGAAGGATGACTTAAGTAAAAGCTTCAAAACAAGCTTTTAAATGCCTCCAAACTCCCAACACTTTTAAGCAATTTTAACATTACTTCCCTGTCATTTCAGAAGGCACAAGGAACTTTCTCCTGTATTGGAATTAATTAAATAGTCAAACAGAGTACTGACCATTTACCAACATGAGGTACTTCCTCCCAAGAGGGACTAAATATAAATGACCCAGCTCCAACCAGTACACAAAAATCAAGAGATAGAAGCCAAACACTGAACTCAGATTTTTCCAGCACACTTAAAAAACCCTCTAGGTTGATTTGTCTTTCTTTTCTATTTTTTTGAAAGCTTCCTTTACAATTTAAAGTTTACTTTCATTTTCTTTTCAGTTTTCTTGTCTTCTCTTCAGCTTTTCAAGGTAAACTAGCCACAGTTCATTTTCTAAAGAGATTTGTCTTTTGCTTGAAGAACAGAAAGAGCAGTTATCTTACACCCAACAGAACAGCTCAGAATATCTGAAAGTGTAGTCCTCCATCCATTCAACATGTAAAAAATCAAACTAACCACCAGTATGTCCATAACAAATCTCCAAAGTACATTGTTCGTCACTGAGTACTGCTTTCTCTTTGTTACACTAGATTAACTCAAATGAAAAGAACCGTACATACAAGAATGATGCTCTTAAATTCTCATACTGGAAAAAATATCATTGTGTAATCACCACATGAGCACAAACCCTTTTATTTTCATCTTGCTGAGAACATATATTTGCCAATTAAAGAAAGCATTGCTAAACAAGTGACTAATCCTTTCTCAGTTCAATTTTTTATCTTTCTATGGTTTCCCTGCACAATGTAGCAGATGAAGAAACTGGATGTTAAATGAGCATATTTGCTATAAAAGCAAAGGCAACACTAAAATAAATGGCCCTGAAAAATGTTTCTTCTATGAAAGTGTTTAGACATTAGTTTCCTTACTCTGTGAAAATTCCTTTTAAAAGAGGACAAAAATGCACATTTAGAGGTTTTTTTTTTACAAATAAACAAAGAAAGAGATGGGAAAACAGACCTGTAATCTTGAAAATTTCTGCTCCGATGGCATTACACTAAACAATATTCTGATTTGCTTTTGTATATTGCTTTGGTATCTAATTTTCTTCCCAAAATTTATTATAACATTATTAGTAGGATGATGTAGTAAAGCTACTTTATTACAGAGAGAGTTGGAGTTGTTCAACCTGGAGAAGAGGCAGCTCTGGGGAGATATTATAGCAGCCTTCTTTTACCTGAAGAGGACCTATATGAAAGCTGGGGAGAGACTGTTTACAAGGCTGTGTAGCAATAGGATGAGGGGCAAAGGTTTCTAACTAGAGCAGGATAGATTTAGGTTAGACATTAGGAAGAAGTTCTTTACTATGAGGTGGTGAAACACTGGAACAGGTTGCCCAGAGAGGTAGTGGAGGCCCTATCCCTGAGCAACCTGATCTAGTTAAAGATGTCCCTGCTTACTGCAGGGAGGTTGGACTAGATGACTTTTAAAGGTCCCTTCCAACCCAACACATTCTATGATTCTACTTACCACAATAAATAAAACAAACATACCTTAAAATTTACTTGGCATTCAATTCTGTATTCATCCATAACTAGTACATCTGTCACTCTGTGGTTACAGTGACTTAAATGTTATCTTTTAAAATAATTTGTTGACATTATGATGATAAAATTACAGTTAAACGTGTATTAAACAACCACTCATGGGACTGTTAAAGGACAGTTCTTTCAATAAAGATGCAGAACATGTCCTTTGAAAGCTGAAAGGAATCTCATAAAGGCTGAAGTAAGATGATATTTAGTTGATATAAAAAATTTTAATATTTAATATTTGAAAGTTCAAATATTTAAATGCTTTCTAGAATAACCAAACTACATGTATGTAATGTATCTAATGTAAAGAACGCTACTAATGCTCAAAATCTTAACAGGCATGAACATCACCCAAAGTAGAAATGTAAACTTTATTATAGGTAATTGCCCTCTGGTGCTTCACTATAAGTACATAACAAAAAGAGTTCAGAAGCAAAAGCCCAGATTCTGCGCTATAACTTAACATAGCAGAGGCACCTCAGAATAGACCTGGATCAAAATAGCCAGCAGCCACCTCTTCTGATACTAAGCTCTGTGTTTGTCATAGACCGTTCTTATTTGACCACTGATATAATTTAGAACAAGGTACAATTACTCTGCTCCTCAAAATAAGAAAAAGTAGTTGCATGGACAGTTAGGAATAGGTGAAGAGGTGCCCCTACCATGTAGTCCTGTCCTGGTCACACATGATTAAAGCAGAGTTGAAGAGGTATGAAGCTGACATCACTCCTACGAAAAGGCAACTGCAAGGTGTAGCAGCAAAACATCGTCCTGGTTTCCACACAGAACATCTGACATTCATACAGAGTATGCCTTATGGGCAAATAATTTTACTGCAATTAAGCCCATTCAGAGATTACTGGAGTGTCTAGAACAGCCTCTGGGAAATCTCAGGTTACAATAAATTGGTATTGGATCAGTGCAGATAATTTAACAAGACAATTTTTAAAATTACTTTCGTTGGCTGTTTACAGTCCACAGTTATTTAATAAAGTCTTTTTACAATATTTAATTAAAGAACCTTGATATCATGACATCACTGAACATCATGAGAAGCCTGTGCAACCTAATGTGGGTTACAATTCAAGAAATTTACTTTGGTTTTTTCTATATATATCTGAAACTAGCAAAGGTAGTTATTCTGAAATAGTACTTCTCTTTCAAATTCAAACTTAATATTGAACATTTCCAGTAGAAACTTCAACATGAATTGCTTAAACGCACATGCATACACACAGCCTAGACATCTGTTTGTCATATCTATCATCTTTTTCTGTAACAGTGTTATTTGCCAGAACTTTTGAGAAGTCTGGTTTAATTGCCTGCCAATTTAGACCACAAATACAAATGTAAATAAACAAAGTTATACTGACTCTGTATTGTGCTCACTGGTAAGATTACAGGGTTTAATTCTGGCAGAATGTAATCTTGTCTTTTTTAAAACCACAATTTAGTGTGTTTCTTAAAACTTTCAGTAGCTGCTGTGGACTGCTTTGATAAATAGTATTATATACCAATGACTCAACTCCATCTGTTTGGCTAAAATAATTGCACATTTTAGTTTATAAGATTCTAAACCCTCAGTTTTGAATGCTAGAGATGAAGTCTATAGGTTTTCAAATGAAAAGGGTAAATGAAAACCTAGTGGCAGTTAAAGAATATGCACTAGTCCCCTGTTTTCAGTAAGAGAAAAAGAATAACCTGTAAATAGTTCTTCAGAAAGACAATGTACATAAAAGATGTGCAGCAGCATCTCTGTCAGCGACTGTGCAGTAGGCTGAGTATGGAGAACAGCTTCACATTGTCCACGTAAGATGGACCTGCTGCGGGCCAAGGCCAAGCCAATCAGTGACAGTGGCAGCGCCTTTGGGAAAACATATTTAAGAATAGGAAAAAAAAACCCAGCCAGAGAGACGAGTGAGAATATGTGTGAGAAACAACTACAGAGAGACACCAAGGTCAGTGAAGAAGAGGCAGGAGATGCTGCAGGCACTGGAGCAGAGATTCCTCTGCAGCCTGTAGTGAAGACCATGGTGAGTGAGGTTGTCCTTCTGCAGCCCATGGATGTTAACAGTGGAGCAGAGATCCACCTGCAGCCTGTGGAGGACCCCATGCTGGAGCAGGTGGATGCTCAAAGGAGGTTGTGACCCAATGGGAAGCCCGTGTTGGAGCAGGCTCCTGGCAGGACCTGTGGACCAATGGACAGAAAGATGCCCATGCTGGAGCAGGTTTGCTGGCAGGATTTGTGACCCAGTGGGCGACCCACAGTGGAGCAGTCTGTTCCTGAAGGACTGCACCCCATGGAAGAGACCCACGCTGAAGAAATTTGTGAAGAACTGTTAGTGCATGGGAAGGATTCACATCGAAGAAGTTTGTCAAGGACTGTCTCTTGTCAGAGGGATGCCATGCTGGAGCAGTGGAAGAGTGTGAGGAATCCTCCTCCTGAGGAGGAAGGAGTGGCAGAGACAACATGTGATGAACTGACTGCAACTCAAGGGGAAGGAGGTAGAGAAAATCAGGAGTGAAGTTGAGACTGGGAAGAAGGGAAAGGTGGGAGAAGGTGTTTTAAGAGCTGGTTTTATTTCTCATTACCCTACTCTGATTTGATTAGTAATAAATTAAACTAATTTCACCAAGCCGAATCTGTTTTGACAGTGATTGCCGACTGATATCCCTGTCCTTATGCCAACCCACGAGCTTTGAATTATTTTTTTCTCTCCCCTGTCCAGATGAGGAGGGGAGTGGTAGAGCAGCTTGGAAGGCACCTGGCAACCAGCCAGGGTCAACTTACTCCAGCGCATCTCCACACCCTTGTTAAGATGTGTCCTTTAGGTTAAGAACTTCAGAAAATGTTTGCAGAAAGAGAATGAACTCCACAGTAGTTTCTAACAAGACTATTTATTGTTTTAGTCCCAAATTCTGTAAATAGAACAAAGTGAAGCTACAGACTACGTATCCTTCATGTCTTTGGTGACTTACTCTTCGCAAAAAATTGGAGAGCAGTTTGGATGAGAAGCTACAATTTCGATTCCTGCTCTACTGGTCTGAGAGGAGGAGAAGGGAGAGGAATGGATGTTTGTTTTCTTTATTGAGGGGGGGGTGGAAATATAATATCTTAACCCTGTGAGAGGCAGAACACTCAACTAAGTAAATAATTTAAACATGTGAGTAGTTGCACTGGTGTCAATGTTTTAACTAAACACTGTTTTAAATTATTTTGCTGGATTGGTATGAAACTTATCCACACCTGGATGAATCCCACCTTGAGAAAAGATAGCAGCATTATCTCTTCTAGTATTACAAGTCTAAGTAGCACAATACATCAGGTACATGCCACAGTCTTGCCAATAATAATAACTTTTGTCTAAAGTTTTTTATGTAGTAGTAGTAAAAAGTATTTTCTACTCTTGATCTAAGATCTTGCTTACTTGTTACTGTTTTAAAATGTTTTTAAAACATTTTAAAAGTTGAGAACCTTTAGCAGAGAAATTTTTCATATGAACAAAATTTGACATTTGTTCCCTTTGTCCAATGTTTGCAAACTCCATAAAATTTTGTCCCAAACAATATCTAGTCTCTCCTCCTTAAAAACAAGATGTACTTTGTTCATCACCCTTTTAGCAGCAACTTGCGTTATTTTTGGTGCTTATACTGACTACATTCCAGTATGAAGCTATCCATACTGCTGCATCCTACACGGGATAGTCCTGAGTCCTGCAGTATGTCTGAGGTTTTATAAATACTAATTTATATTTATTGGCATTCCAATTTCTCAGTTGATTTACAATGTTAATTCTGTTAGGTTAATGTATTACTCTAAAGGTTGACTTTTAGTGAGATATGTCATGAAAGTGATTTCATTTACGTATGCTCTTATGCTACATGGCTAACTGTTTATACAACCCATGTTTACAGTTGTGTACCATCTAGCCTTTTGCCACTGGGTGACAGCCAATGCATGAAAACAAAAGCCCTATTCAGGAAAAGAATTCCCTGCACTGCTATATGAATATCAAGTGAATTATGCAAATAAGAACAGGAGGAGCTTAATAAAACTCTCTTTCTGACTTTCCTTATGTATAAAGAGGGAAATATGCTGAGAATCTTGAGGTAAACATCCCTGTAAGGGAACAGTAAGCACTGTAAATGCCGACCTCAACATTTAACGGGAACACTTAATCATAAAACTCAAGGATATTTGTAAGCTGTTCAAATCTACATCACAAAACCAAAGAGAGCAGCGACTCTCCCTAAAAAGAATATCTTTTTCTTTGGTTTTGCAAAGGAACAAGAGGGGAGAAAGGGTAAAAAAAAAAAGCCTGAGTTCATAAAAGGAATGATGGAGAGGGACAAAACAGATAAAATACAAATAATACTCTAAAAACTTTCAAATTATTTTTCATGACAGTAAATGTGCACATTTCCTTTTGGAAATACTTTCTTTAATTTAGGCTGTTATTTATGATTTGAGAACACATGTAAAAGGAGAAGGCAAAACAGGTACCTAGCATACAGCACTTTAAAATGGTGTTCTGTAACTTTGACATTTAACTTTAAAAAAAATATATAGCACATTTTACAGTAGGATATAACTAACCCAAACAGCCCTGTAGAAAACAAAAAGTGAAATTTAAGTCAGATTAGAATTGACAATATTTGTGTCAGAAATACTAAAAAAGGTATTTTTTCAATATTTAAAATGCTATGAATATGAATAGCTTACATCATATTTTCAAGATCTGTTGCACAAGCTCCCACTGCTTTGGTGACATTCACAAGTAGTGTCTTATCAGTCCCAGTAAGTAAATTCACTAGAGGTGGTATTCCATTACATCTTCGGATAGTACTTCGATTTATTGGCTCTTGGCAACATTCTCCCAGTGCTCCAACGACATTTACAAGAACTTCTTCAGGCTGGTCAGTGAGCAGTCCCACCAAAGTTTCTACAGCTTTATATTCCCGAAATCTAAATTACAGAAATAAAACTAAAGTTGTTATTTTCAGTATGCTACTGTTATAAGTTTAATTTTATAATTAAAGCATAGTTATAATTGAAGTATAATGTTTAATTTCTGTATGTCAAGTATCTTGTTGAAGACATTACAATACAGGTAAACCACTTCAATCAGGTCTTGAAAGTGCGACGAACAGCATAATTTCTTACTCTACCTTTTCCCTAATTCAGCTATCTATGAATCTGCAGAGTAGTTTGAGGGTTTTTTAAAACTTGGCATGTGGATGCAACATACATAAATAGCTGAAAACATACTGGAAGACTGGCAAATACTGTGGCATACTAACCTTCAGTACTTTTTTCTGCCATATATATCAGACCCTCTTGCACTTCCCTGGACCAAAGGATCCCTCTTACTTTTCACTAAATGTTAACCTCTAGAGGATTTGCCCTGACCAGTTCCATACTTAGTTCAGGCCTAATAAGTGTATTTTCCTAAGGTCAGACTGATAGTTCTAGTACATTTCTATTGTACTATATTAGATTCCATTGTGAAATCAAGTAATAAATTAAGAGAAATTTTAGTTGACTGCTATACTAGTACTTCCCTCATTCTACATGGCACTTTTGGAACTTAAAATAAAAAATATATTCTTAAAACCCCTAGAGGACCCATCCTACAAACAGATGGATGCTAAGTCTCAGAAGTTCATCTTTCAGAACAGCTCTTTACTCCTCAGTACTGGGGCTGTCTTCCAAGCTCATTTTGTTCAAATGTAGAAGATTCCTAACACTTAACAAATACTGTCTCTTCCTCTATTACATTTTCTATGATACACCTTGACAATTCTACTTGGTATATCAAGATAGACATAATCTGCATATTATCTGATAATTATGCTTTGATTTATACCTTTGTGTAAATACATATAGTTCCTCCCCTAAGAGAGGAGGGAACAGAGATCTCATTTATGCTTCCCCTATCATCCCTAGCTTCTGGAAATGTCTGCTTGAGCTACAAATACTTTATTTTCCAGGAATCAGTTGTACATGTGGCTTTTCTTTCATACAAAAAAATGAGTATTTTTGAGATTCTGAAGGCAGAACTAGAACTGTTTCAATAAAAGTTAATCTTTCCAAGCTGGTTTATCAGTATAACAAAGTAACTGAGAAATGAGAAACTTTCATTTTTCATCATTCAAGCCTTTGCTTAATGAATCTTCCTTTCTCTGTTCACTATAATTTGTAAGTATCCCTATAATTTTTTAAGAGAAAACATCACCAGCATTAAAAAAAAGAGCAACAAAGCAAGCAATTTTTTTTTTTAAAGCAACTGATTTTCTCTGGCTACTTTATCTGTGTTTCATACCAACTGCTTCACAGATGGAACATATGAGCTGGCTCTGATGGGCAGGCTACACTGTGACAGATCTGTTGGCTCAGGCCATCTTGTGTCCAGAAGCAGTATGGCTGCTTGCACGCAAACTGGAACCGGAGCTAGTCAGGCCCAGGCACCTGTATCAGTTCATTGCTGAGTCAGCACAACATCTCAGCAAGGTACTTCAGGTATAGCAAATACTGTGGCATAGTTCTAAGATAATTACGTGGCCCTGCAGGAACCAGTGGGGTTTGTTAGCTGTAGCTTCATGTCAGGCTCAAGCTCATCCTTCCAGATCTACTTAATGTGTGCTCATATTACCCTCCATCCCTGTTCTGCAGTGCCCTGCCATCTTGAGTTTGGCTAGGCTTTACTGTTTCACACTCAGCACTACATAATACATGAATTCAGCTCAAGCCTGGAGCTGCGCTTGGCTAGTAACCTTCATGGAGCATCAAGCACTTGCCAAAGATATGTGAGTAGTCCAGAAAAAGTCTGTTTGCATTTGGAATTATTGGCTACAGTTATAGTAATAAATAAAAGAGACCATGGCTCATTCTCTAGTCCTGAGGACAAGAGGCACAACATAGCATCCATATGGCTAAAATCTCTTATCCTTATACAATTCAGGGTGGCCTTACCCATTCTGCCTAATGGAAACAATCTTTTGCCGGCAACGTTCCCAAGGAGTGTCCTGGCACTGTCCAGGGGAGCGCTTGCTGGCATAGGCCAAACTGTGTAAGGGACTGTGCTAGCAGTTAAACCGTATGGATAATCATAACATACGGCCTGAATCCTGACAGGTTTGGCCATGTTTAGTTTACTGGTATAGAGCCATTCAGTCCATCTCATTACTGATTGATCCAGAACCAGGATGCCTCTGTACAGATACCCAAAGGCCACAGAAAAGGAGTACATACCCTTCTGAGATGCCAGGTTATTGTGCAATCAAGAATGCAAAAAAAAGTGGGGCAGCAGTAGAGTACATAAAGACCATGGCTATGTATACCAGCAATTTGGGAACTCATTTAGGACAGTAAAAAGCCAGACTGTGAACTCTTATTACTGGAATTCTTTCTGATTTTTATCCAGTAGTTACCTATCATATCGGCTTGTCCAGCAAAGTACTCTAAAATTAGGGCTGCAGGAAGAGGTAACCTCTTACTGATACTCCTTCCAGCCTATGAATCTTGCATTCCTCTGTGCAGAGCAGCATAACTTCAGCAGGAAGCCTAGCACACTGGAGTAGGCCTTTTTGTGAGGTAAGGTGCATGAATCTGATAAATTCATTTTAGATGAGGGAGTCAAGTATCCTCAGTCATTACGCTGTTCCATGAAAGGTGGAGGATGATAACTCCTGCTGTCACATTCTCCATTAATCACTCAGGACCCTGGCACTGAGAGGCTGTAGGTACATATGGTAGGACTCTCATCAGTTAATTCCACTCATTTAGAAGCTGGGCATGCAGACTAAGCTACTTTTCTGAGCCTCTATAGTCAAGGAGAAAGGCATCTAGGTTAATTATCCTAGTATATTTCTAAAGCAGAGGGACCTAATGTGTATTAGATATCTATCCTAGAATGAGATAATTTGATCTCTCTCTCTCAACATAAAACATTAAGGCCAAGTGTGCTAACTATGCTCTCTACCATGCAGCAATAATTCCAGTTTGTAAGCTACAGAGAGGAGTGGTGATATCAGAAACGCCCATGTGTCAAATGTTAGTATGTTCTAGTGCACCTCCTGACTCAGTGTGCTGTATCTGAACTATTCTTTAGAGGCACTAATTGTCCCTGTTGACTCTTAAGATTCTAGGAACTTAACACTGTTTCCACTGTACTCTGAGGAGGCTAGGTGGCAATTTTTTAAGTACTATAAAACCTAAGTTGAAAGCCCAACGGATTATAAAGTATGGTTTTGAAGTATGATTACATAACAATTCTGAAAACAATAGAGGCTCACAAACTCAAAACATGATAATGTAATAAATGTTTGTAAAATTAAATTGTTACTTTGACACGTTCTCTACACTGATTGCGCATTTCCAGATTGCTCCTGTCACAGCTGCTAAAAGTTGTTTGTTTTCAGAGTTCTCAAGCAGAACAGATAGTGGTTGTAGACCTCCATGCTCTCTAACCAGGTCACGTGTTTCTTTATCTTCTCCACACTATAAAAAAACCCACATATTTGTATAATGTAAAATGTGTAAAATGATATCTTCAAAAGCTGGGTGTACTATGTTGTAACTACTAAACACTAATATAGAAGAAAACAGAAATATTTTTTTCAAGTATCTGAATACACTAATAACTCACTAAGAGAGTCTGACAGTGAACTGCTACTGTATATGCAGCAGTGCTTACACCGTCACACTGTCCACCTTGTGGGCAAACAAACATAAAAAAAGAAAGCAGCTCTTTGCACAGTATGCCCTGACTCTCTCCATTGGTTACCTGTGCAATTTAGTTTTTGCACGCAAGAAGAGTAAGTAGGAAATTAATTACAATATTCAATATGCAGCTAAAATATACTAATGACATTTATCCAAAGACTGTCAACATTTTTATAAAGTAATTTCTTAGACATTAGAGAAATAGTAAAATTAAGAAATATTAAGACTGACAACCACATGAAAACAAAGGGCTAATCCTGGCTCTGATCTAGTGAACATATAAATATTAATATAATTAATAATAATAATAAATATAATATTATATTAATACAATTACCTTAAATATGGCACTTGCACAATGCATCTGAAGCTCCTCATGTTCATTATTCAGATTTTTCACAAGGTTCTCAATCATTCCTCCTGTTCTTATTGCAAGTCTGTAACTTGCCTAAAGAGATAAACCGTGTCTTTTAAATCCTGTACATTGACAGTTAATAGCACTAGTCACAATAATAACACAGTGCTACAATTCTAGGCTTTTTTTTTTAGTGATCTTTTCTTCCAAATTTTAACCCACAGGCATTGTAACAGGGGACCATTACTTAAGAGAGGGGAAACGTCTGTGTAAGAGATGCACTTAGTGTTACTTCCAAATTTGGGCAGATAAGAAACCCTTAAAAACTTCAATATAGACTTACTGAAGCAAAAATTTGCCAGGCTGCTGTCTTGTGGAGCATGCATAAACCTGTGTAGTTCAAGAAGCTAATTTTGAAAATACAAAGTGTTTTGTAATGTAAGATCTTTTGGTAAAAAAAAATATCTTCCGTGTCCCAAATTCACCAAGAGAACTTAGGTATATTTTTGATCTTAAGTGCAATGCACCTTAATTTCAAATATAGCTCCACAAATGGAGAAATAACCACTTAGCTTATACGGCAATGGTAAAAAATACTTGTATTCAAATTTAAAAACTGAATATACTTAAAGTTGTGAAACCTGCCAAGGCAATCTGTAGAAAAATCAAATACATTTCTTTCCACTTTTTGCAATCAATCAGAAACCGTCTTACCCAATTCACAAAGACATTGAAAACCACACTGCCCTGCACTGCATTGGATCTTCTTTGCCATACCTGCAGGTTAGCTTTGTAGAATTTAAATGTACTGATTAACGAGAATATAGCATCTTAAGTTGTCATATTTAAGTAAGATGGAAAAAAATGAGGAAAAAAAAGAAACTTATTAAGGATTTTATTTCTATATATGTTTCTTTCACAAACTACTCCTAACCTTTTAAATAAAAAAATATGTGGTCTTTACTTCTTTACAAGCTGTGACCTTCTCAAAAACACTTTGACCACACAAAGCATCTACTTCCTGATGGGATAACTGCCCTGGTTTAAGTGACAGACAAATGTCAAATGTTTTCTTTTAGCAGCCAATTGTTCTAATGAATAGAAATAACTTAGCTATATGTGTTTACTTACCTCTGAGGCACATTCCTGTAGTGTCCCCACTACTGGGGTTAAAATAGTCACATGTGAACATTTGAGCCATCTAGCTAATAAGGGGATGCCACCAGCTTTACGGATTGCTTCTTTATTTTTGGTGCTTTTGCTGCAGCTCCAGAGTGCCAAGGCCCCACAGCGTGCTGTTTCAGTATCATTTGCTTGGGATCGTGGTAGACGGGTTGATCCCACTGAAGTACATTCCAACAGCCCAACCTAAAAAAAAAATACATTATCTACTGTGAAGTTTGATATTGTACTGCTTTTTAATGAAGGTAAACACTACCACAAGAGTCAGTTATACAACACATTATGTACTTTTATGACAAAAATGTGCATATGACAGGGGTACAAATTTAAATGTCCGCTTACCAGTCTCTTGATTCCTCCGTGCTGCCTTACTGTCTTTCGTGCTTGTTTAAATCTAGCAACATTAGCAATTGTTTCAGCTGCCAAACATTTTAGATCTTTATCTGGAGAGTCCAGTATTTTCACCATGATCTCTAAGCCCCCAAGATCTACAATTGTATGTCTGATCAGTGTATTTTGACTAATTTCCTTCAGGATTTTTAATGAACCAATCTAAATAATGGAAAATAAGAGAAATTAAACATTATTTAAGTATACATAAGCAGAAAAAATATTTTAAATGCCAGGTTCTCTAAAATATTTTATGTTTTAAATTGAATGAGAAGAAGGAAACTGAAAGTCAAAGACTTTTTTTCTAAAGCCTTGAAATTGAGAAAATACAGAAATGAGAAAAGAAATCCATTTTCTTTATACTATATAACCAAACTGCAAAAATATTCTAATAGATAAGGCATATTCATTCCTCTATTCCAGAAAAGTACTTACCTGACATTTAATTTCTTCTGTATCAAGTAAATTAATTAACACTTCAAGACATCCAATGTCTCTGATGGCCAGCTGACAAGTTTCTTGAGCCAGATTGAAATCTCTCATTGAACACAATGCAATTACAGTAGCCGTTGGATTACCACCCTAAAACAAAGCAAACAATTAGCAAGTGTGCAAAGTGCATTTAATATAAAACTTAATCTCTTCTGCCAGTAGTAGTAAAAGTTCTACCAAAGAAGAAACATGTTAGAAGAAACATGTTAGAGTATTCTGATTCTATGGTGTGAAGTAATGCAGAGATTGTAATAAATGACATTATTCATAAAGGTTGCAAATGGCATAAGGACTGAAGTGAGCATGAACAGCACAGGAGACAAATAACATGGCTTGCTGTGAATGGACTAGTAAATTAGGCAGTCAAGTATTGCAAGTTTTGTATGGGTGTTTGCAGATAGTAAAAGAGCATTTAGTGTAGGTACAGACATTTCAGAGAAGCTATCTGCATTCTTTGCACTGGTGTTCACTCTGGAAGAAATCAAAGAGATTCCTATAGGAATCTTCTGTTGTGGACACTTCAGGGAATTTTTCTGAAACTTAAGTCACTGTAGAAAGTTTTTATAAAAAACTCTGACATTGTGAACAGTATCAAATTGCCATTATTAGACAGTATTCGACTGAGTTATAAAGGAAACAGGGTAAAATAGTTGATTCAGTAGAAGTGGCAGGTATCCTCTCACTTCAAACTGCCCTGTTCACAGAATCCCAGAATATTAGGAGCTGGAAGGAACCTCTAAAGATCATCCAGTCCAATCCCCCTGCCAGAGCAGGATCACCTAGACCAGGTCACATAGGAACGTGTCCAGGTGGGTTCTGAATGTCTCCAGAGAAGGAGACTCCACAACCTCTCTGGGCAGCCTGTTCCAGTGCTCTGTTACCCTCACAGTGAAAAAGTTTTTCCTTATGTTCAGGTTGAACCTCCTATGCTCCAGCTTGCTATTACCAATGTCCTGGGAAAGAACAAATGTGATGTCAACTTTGAAAAGAGTTCAAGGTTTATCCAAGGTCTTTTAGCCAAATATCTGTGCTGGACAAACTGGTAGACTGCAGTAAAGAACAGAATTAGCAGGTATCTGTCTAAATATAATATTCTTGCAACAATATGATATACTTACGAGACACCATGGATCTGTTAAAAGAAGTCCTACCTTACAAAACTTGCAGCAATGGTGACCTAGTTGATATATTTATCCCTCCATAAGGATTTTGACACAGTCTCTCCTTGATAGCTTTTAAAGAAACTAAGCCACTATATTATAAGAGGAAAGGTCACTGCATGGATTGAAAAGAACGACTAAAGGACAGGAAACTGCAGATAGGAGCAAATAGTCATTTCAATAAACGGACATGATTTAGTGGAGTTCCACAGATCCGTGTTATGCAATTCAACATACTTGTAAAGACCCTGAAAATGGAAGGACTAGTTATGTGATAAAGTTTATTGATGATATTATGATTCAGGGCAGTTGTGACAAACTGCTAAAGAACTTAATAAGACAAAGAAGGCAATGAAATAGCAAATGAGAAAATGAGAAGTGATGCACACCAGAAAAATAAATCCAAACTCCATAGATGAATGATTTTTCAATTGATCATTAAGAACTAGCAATTATATCATGAGGTTAGGCTAGATGGCAATCAGAAAATAAAAAAAAGAATATCAGGACTTATTTGGAAAAAGTAGTGGACAGAGAATGCCACTATGCCACAGTATAAATCCATGGTTCACATACACCTTAAAAACTACATGCAGTTCTGCAGCCTTAGTTTCAGGAAGGTTACTATAGCACTGGAAAACTTTCAGAGAAGAGCAGCAGAGATAGTCCAAGGGATATGGTAGACATCTACAACGCTAGGGATGGCATTGAGTGGGATAGGGATTGACTGTCCAATGTCTCTTTTAATACAGAATCTTTTAATAATGAGGTATAATGGGATTCAGGCAAAAAATAAATAAAGGGAGTTGGTTCTTCAGATGTGGTAACAGACTAGTGGAACTAGTTGTGAAAGGATTCTGTGAAAGTTAAAAGTTTTCATTGAAGGTCAGTAAAAACATAAGTATCTCATTCAATTTTCAACTCCCTGAGCCAAAAAACAGGTGGCAGCTTGGAGAGTATCGGAAAGCTGTCTGTTTGGCCTGTTCTTGCTTCGCCTTGGGCATTCATTTATGATCCGGGTTTCTTCTGCCTTGGTAGAATATGAACAGAGTTTCACACTACTATAAGTTATGTGGTCAAGTTTCCCACATTTGTGGAAATGAGAAGTCAGGACATCTGGAGTGCAAAAGATGAACCTTAACCACAGAAAACTATCATCTTGATCATCATGTCTGCCCTCCTCACTTTTGATCTATCCAATATAGTTTTTTAATGTGTAAATTTAAGGTCATAGACTTACAAATAATGAGAACAGGATATAGCTCAATGTAGGAGTTCTATCTTGGAAACCAGAGCATATAAAAAGACTTGGGATGTTGAATATGAATTTGAGACTACATTTGGTTCAAAGGATTAATTTTGGGATGCATGAATGAAAGTATTGGATAGGAACATAGGTGTTATCTCTTTTTAGGCACTTGCACAACTACTGCTGAAATTCTGTGTCGAATTTTCCTTTTTATATTTCTATAAGCAAAGTGAAAATATGGAGCTGATTCAGAGAAGAGAAATAAAAATTACTGTAAGCCTGGAAAATAGTTACATTAAGACAGACATGGAGCGCTATTTAGTTTATTAAAAAGTAAATTTAGGTATGATTTATTCATAGTGAATAAATAAATCTATGAAGAATAGGAATGTGATCACAGAGAGCTCTACAGTCCAGCACAGAAGTCTGATGATTTGAAGTTAAAGATACTAAAACTTAGATGAAGAGTAAAGTGTAAGTTTTCCATTGTGTGGTTAATTATCCCTCGAAAGAAATTACTTAAGAGTGACGGTAGGTTTTCCAGCAGTGGAAATTTTTCAGTCAGGATTGGATATTTTTCTAAAAGATAAGCTCTATTTCAGTCACAGCTACTAGACCAAAAGCAAGAAAAAGATCAAAGAATACACTCTATGGTATGCAGAAAGTTAAACCATATGATAACAATTGATTCTTTTGAACCTATAATATAGGTTTACTGTTAATCAAATCAGGTATGAACCCAGCTGCACAGAACGTAGGAGGGCTGAGCTACCATGTAGCTGCAACAGAAGCTGGAGCACATGAGCAATGCCAACTGGTGCTAATGTGGAAGTTACAACTTAGAGCACCTAGTAAATCAAACTACAGCATCCACCTCCCACATGCCTCTGAATTCCAGGGAAGCTTTGGCTCCCATCCAGATCTGAAATGTGCTGCCCAAGCCCATCCCTTCAAATAACACTTTTGAAAGTGTAAAGGACTTTGAGACAACCCTTTCCAGTGGAAAATATTTTACTCAACTGTTCACATCATACTGAAATATAGAATATCAAAAAATTGAGTAATGTTTCCTAATATGAAACCAGTAGATCTAATAAAAACATAGCATTTTGCAGAATATGTCTTAAATGTAAACAGAAACAGTAAGACATAGATAGAAAAAAGTATTTACATTTAAAATGCTCTTCAACAGATACCATAAAAGTAGCAGAGAATCACAAGTGAGAAAATACATCCAAAAGTAATGTGAGAAAAATAGCTGATAAAGTTTTGGATCATTAACTTACATCAGACAAAATAAATCTGCTAATCAGTGGAGTGTATAAGGATGGAGCTTCATAGCTAATTTTTACTTAAATGTCTTCTGACAATAGATATCCACAGAAAATTTGTTAAATATGTTCAAATTAAACATAGATAAAAACTTATTTACTGTGAGGGTGACAGAGCACTGGAACAGGCTGCCCAGGTTGTGGAGTCTCCTTCTCTGGAGACATTCAAAACCTGCCTGGACACGTTCCTCTGTCATCTTCTCTGGGTGACCCTGCTCTAGCAAAGGTGTTGAACTGGATGATCTGCAGAGGTTCCTTCCAACCCCTGCCATTCTTTGATTCTGTGTAAATATAAACATAGTTTTTTAACATCTGTAACATGTAGTGTCCTAAAGGAAGATTCCTACAGTTTTTCATGTTATCTATTTTTAATCATTGTTGCTATCTTGACTTCAGAAGAAAATGAAATGTGTCTAGCTTTAAGAACATATTTTGATCTATTTTGTAAAATATGTCCTAAGGAATAAAATATGGTAGCAATTTCTCAAGTTTACCTAGAGAAATCAGTTTAGCCATTGAAAGTCCAAATGATTTTTTTAAAAAATTCGTAAGATACAATTCCAAAAACTACATACAATATTCCATAGCTCAAAAGGAACAACAGCTGTCCTTTTCTGAAGTTTGTTGTCTTTTCATATAGCTTAGACTTTGAGATTTACTTTGCTTTGTATTATAAAGATTTTGCAACAGGTGCTTAAGGAGAATACTTGTCTTTTTATTATTTTACATGAATGTAAGAAGTATATTGCTAACCCAACAACCGGTGTCTCTTCTTTTGAGAAGTGCTTCTCCTACAGTGAAACTATATTTATACATAACATAGTCAATCATAATTAATTTATCTTACATGTATAAGGGCTGGCATATGATATTTAATATGGATCAGGTTTCTAGAAAATAAACAACTTCTAATTCTCTTATATTAAATAAAAAAATAGAACTGTTTATAAAAAATATATATATATGCATTTTTTCAGCTTCAAAAATGCACACACTACTTGAACTGTTTTTAAAGTAAAACCACAATAAAATATTTTTCATATGTGCTGAAGCTTCAGTTCTACAAAATAAATATTACTGATGGTTTCAAGAATTAGTTTTTGTTTCTTGAAGTTATCATTACAGTAAGTCTTACGGTACTTAGAGCATAGATTTTAACATGCATGGAAATGGTTATCTCTCCATTAAGTTGACATAAAATCTGCATCATGTTGTTATACCATTTGAAATCTGATACGCTGGATGCAAAATAAACTCTACTGGCAGATCAATAATTTTAAGGCTTGAAATTAAACACAGATTTAGTTTAAAATGTGCCTCTTCCTATATGGTGGTATAATGTATATATCC